CTTTTTGGCCCATTTTGCCTGAGGAAAAGAAGCTGCCTAATAATTAGAATAAAAGAGTTACTAGTTGTTATTTAGAATGCTATTTTAAAATCCTATTCATCATTCAAAGATATCTTTCTCTCCCATTTTGTAGGAAATGGCACGCTTAAAAAGGCAGTTTACTGAACTATTGTCTGACATTGGGTTTGTGAAAGAGGGGCTCCGAGCCAGAGACATAGAGCAGAGATTTTCTCAAGGAGGGGATGGTGTTCTTGAAGCTACAGGAGAAGAGGTAACTGGAGTGGAAGTTTTTTAATCTGCTAAGTTTTGTACCTATCTTTCAGTGTTTCCTCTCCTTCTCAGCCACTCTCCTTAAGTAAAGATGGTCATATTTTACCTAATTCCCATGTAACTATACTGATTATTTCTGGAATACTTCCTTTCTAGAGTGAAGATGCTTTTCCAGATCTTTGAGTATTGTGTGAAAAATCCTTTTTAATTCCTCAGCTAGAAGATTCTCACTCTAGTGTGAACATTGTGTTTGGTCCATCTGGTGGGTTGATGAAGCAGAGTAATTGAAGAGAAAACTTGTAACTTACATATATAACATAGTTAAACATTAGTGATGTACCCCTGTTTATATTAATGATACTTTGTAATTCTAACATTATTAAGGCAGCTTGGTACTTTAAAATTGCACGCTGACGTATGTTTTTGGATAGTACAAAAATCTCAGAAAATTCAAAAACAAAAATTAAAATATTAGAATTCATCTGTAGATTACTCATCAGTCCTAAGATGTGATTAATAGGAAAACAGATAATTTAAAAGCAGTCTGTATGAAGACCTACTGATATATTTATAAATTTCAGGAGAGTGAAGATAAATATTCTGGTCCTTCAACTTGAGTATTTTTAAAATTAGAAATTTTAAAATATTTGTTCTTTAAGTTCTTTGTGTGTGTGTGTGTGTGTGTGTGCATGTGTGTGCGTGTTTTAAAAGCTCTAAAATGGAAATAGCACATATAGTAACTGATGCCCAAGGGAGGTGTATCATCAGAGTACAAGCAGCAGTGGACGAGCACATTGCACCTGGGACTTTGTGTTCACAAAGTCCCAGTTGCAGTCACTGCTACCTCCAGTGGGAAAGAAAGAAGCAACAGAGAACTTTAAAAACCCACTGCAGGTCACAGAGGATTTTACTGGTTTGTGGTCTGACTCTGCATAAGGCTGCTTCATATGATAGGGTCTAGAATGCTTCCCCCATAGTGATGATATGCACTACCTTCTTATTTTCAAAGGTATCTCTGTAATCATAAGATTGAGAAATCTCTTTTAAAAGATACATACATGATACCTGAAATACTCAGGATTTCCTGCCATTTGCTGCATGATACCTGCACAAGTGACAGTCCTCATACTCTTAATTCACAGTATGTAATCTGTGTCACAGGCAAATGCAAATGCAGAGAATGTCAAGTTGATATCAGCCATGTTATGTGCCGCTATGTATCCAAACGTAGTTCAGGTAAGCATATAATAGTAATCACCATCTGGTAGTATTTATATCTGTTTTCCTGTCTCTGGTCTCTGAAACAGGACTGCTTGTAATAGCATGGGGTTTTTTAAAGGGGAAATTTATACAAGAACTTCCTTTGAAGTGCCATCCTTCAATTGGCTAAGCTGTTGCCAACTTTAAACATCAGACTTAAAACCATTTTGGTCTCTTAGGCTTTCAGGAAAATTCATGATTTTATTTCATATATATCTTCTATTCATGTTTATATATTAACAGTAAAGAAAATAAAACTGAATGCCAATGTTAGAGTTTTTCTTCATGTCAGATTAGTTCCTAACTCTCCAATGTATGTAGCTTGTTTGCTGCTTGGCAGCCCACCCTTCTTCAGACCTTTTCATGACTCCTTTCTGCTTGGAACCTAGGGCTCCAATCTTCCAGAATAGGCAAAGTGTTACTAATCTCTTAACTATGCTTTTAATTCTCAGCAGGGCTCTTTTTCTCCAACCAAAGTTTGAAACTAGAACCTAAAGCATATTTTCAGAATCCAGCACTGCAAAGTTGACTGGAGTTTTATTGTTTTGGATTGAGGTGGGGACAGTGGTTGGTTAGTTAGTGAATGATATTGCTTTGCAAGACCAGTCTGTGTTTATAGCTTCGTGGTTCTAGGCAAGTTCCAGATTAGAGGACCTGGCTGAGGCTCAGAGAAGAGAAAGTATCAACAAAAGAGAAGTGGTTACTGACACAATAGGGATTGACTGCTGGGGCAGGAGGGAAAAATGGTAACGCTGATATCCATCATCTCAGTCCTTGAAGCACATTATGTTAGAAATGAACAGCTGATGCTTAGAGCAATTTGCTTTCCAAATGCCATGCAGTGACTGCAGGGATGGGTTGGATTTGGACTGCTTCCACATACTTTGATCATGCTCACAACCATGATGGCCCAGTTACCTTGTCAAACAAAATCATCCAGGCTGAAGCTTTGTAATATATGCTTTACATGTGCTACTACTAGGTTTGGAATAGATTTTGGGAGGGGCGGGGGTTATTCCCTGTGGGGTTTTTTCCCTTTTCCGTTTAAATTCCACAGTATGTCCATGCTGCTTTGGTAGAAGAAAGCGGTTTGGTAGAAACTTCTTCTTCTATACATCTCTCTTGAAACGAACAGGGATTGCCTGTGAGTATTCAGTTCACAATTTTTATTTACCATTTTAGATAAAAGTACCAGAAAGGAAGTATCAGAAGACTGCTAAAATTAATCCAAAACCTGAAGCATTGCTGTTTACTACAAAAAACCAAGGTTATGTTCACATTCACCCATCCTCTGTAAACTATCAGGTAATTTCTAACCTCCAGTCAGTAAATATTCTACCCAAACTTATTCTAGCATATACAAGCTTCTTCGTGGAAGGAACAGCATGCATAGTATTTGGTAATCCGTAGTGCAATTGCCTGCTGTAAGCCTTGCTGAAATCTATTGGATATTTTTATAGGCACCAACACAAACAGATGTCTTTCTCTCCTTTCTCCTCCAGCTTACTACATCCATGTGAAGCCTGTCTAGAGGCTTCAGATATCACCTCCATGTCCTCTTCAGGTCTGGTCACTTTATGCTGGCACAAACAAATTTTTGCTAGCAATATCTAAGTGGCAGGCATACAGTATAATACAGGTGATATCTGTGGAACCAAAGTTTTTGTTTTTGTTTGAAATGTCACATGGGTATTCTTTGGAATTCTGTATTTCAGACAAAGCGCTTTGATAGCCCCTACTTGGTGTACCATGAAATGGTAAAAACCAGCCGGATATTTGTTCGAGATTGCAGCATGGTGTCCGTGTATCCACTGATCTTGTTTGGAGGAGGCCGTGTGAACATGCAGCTCCAGAAGGGGGCGTATGTTGTTTCCTTGGATGATGGGTGGATTCACTTTGTTGCAGCCTCACGTCAGGTAAAGAATTAAGCAACTCATCAGATCCATCAAGTTCTCCAAATGTATCGGATTATAAATGCTGTAGCCCCAATACACTTGAACGACAACATCTTGGGAATGGTTGATATAAACAGTTCTCATAGTGGAGAAATTACTTTCATTTGCAGTAGTGGATGATGGTGTCTCATACTACTTTGTACATCAATATAGGGAGCAGGTTCTGTTCCTTAAAGAACCCCCCCCCTTCTGTACTATTTGGTCCCTGAGGCTGGAATGAATAGAATGTATCTGTCCTAGAAGGCCCTTGCAATACAATCAGCAGCGTTTTATCTAATTTTTAAAATTTCCTAAACTGAAAAAAGGCCAGTTAGTTCTTTATGGCTCTATGATCTCAAAGTGGATAGATGATTTAAGAACAAAGCCTCCTTCAGGAATATAGATGCATTCACTGTTTGAGAACCACCGTTTTGCAATTCACTGGCATAATACAGAGCAATATGGCGCTCTGTATATTGCCTCATGCAATAACTTTATAATGACAATACTGTACATTAAGATAAATTATAATCACCATCAATGAACTATGCCTATAAAGTGGTTTTCTTGATATAAACAACAAAGAGGGTTCATCTCACACTGTCCCTGCCCTGACTCTGAAATGTGTTGCTTACCATATGTGGAAGGCAAGTCCTCGTGACGGAATTGCCATCTTGCATCCAGCCAGCCTGCCCCAGAGGTAGGCTTAGGCTGGATCAAAGAGACAGGGCAGTAAAGATGTGTTTTCCAGCATCACAAGAGAGGCCTGAGGAAGATCATGATTTGCCTGCTACAGCATTGCCTCCTCACATTTGGTTGTGGATTCTGGGCTTCCATAGCCATTTCTCCTTTGGCTGCCAGAGAGAACCAAGCCTTGCCCAGCATCCAGAGGTCCGGGGAGAGGGGCAGCCTGATAAGAATAGTGACCTTGAGGAATGGATTCCGCCTAAGGGCTGTTGGTAACCTCTGCTCATATTATGATCATCCCTACCCTTAGGCAGAGAGGCCAGGAGCAGTAGGCTGGAGGCTGTGCCACCACTGCTGCTACAGATGGCCAGCAAGCTTGTCTCCTGCAGCCATGCTGCTGTCATTGCTTGACACGTTCCAGAATCTCCACATAGGCACAGATGATCTTCAGTGAGGGTTTTGCACTGGGGCAGAAGTGTGGCAGGCAGAATCTCTTTCCCTTTCCCTGCCCCTCACTCCCAGAGCAAACTGCTGCCCTATGAGGGCAACAGCTTTGCCAGCCTCATTTCTGAAGTGTGGCAAAAAGAGGTCTGTGGGGGAAGCTGTCTCCCAACTGACATACATACTTTCCCCCAATTTAAAGATAGAGGGAAAGCATGTTGCAGGAGGTGTGGGAAACAGCCTTTCAGCTTCTTAAAAATTAACACATTTCTTGTGGCCTAAAACATTTTGATTGTATGATACAATCAGCTTGTGCAGATAGATAAACTAACCCTGTAAACAACAAGAAAAATACTCAAGACTAATCAGTGTCTTTAACGTTTCTGTACAGAGCATAAAAGGATACAAAATCCAAATAAACACAAAAAAAACAAGCACCGTGAGTTTGATTTGCACAGCCTTCCATATCAGTGTCTGTTGCATTTCATTCTCTTTGTATCCCAATTTGGAACACCTAAGGACATGTAGCTATCATAGTTTCAAGCAATACCCCATTCAGTGGGGTTTGTACGAAGGCCTACAGTTGCAAGCATACTAAGAATAAAGCAAGGTGTCTTTCTCATACTACTATCCTCCTGCTACATCAGAAATTTGAAGAAGGGGGTGTTTAGTATTTGCTGATATGATGTACAGAACAGCTACTGTATTCAGAAAGTGCTGAATGGAACTTGCAGTCAAGATAGCATAAAGAAATGGCTATATCCTTCATGCTGTGCTTATGAGGTGTTTTGGGTGGCTACTATTAGAAACCTCATCTAAAAAAAAAAGTTTATTTTGGGTGCATATTTGTGATTTCAGGTGGCAGAACTAGTGAAAGAACTTCGCAGTGAGCTTGACCAGTTACTCCAGGAAAAAATTAAAAACCCCAGCATGGATCTGTGCACTTGCCCTCGAGGATCTCGTATTATCAGCTTGATTATAAAACTTGTGACCACACAATAGCATTAGTTAGTGAGGATGGCTTTCTTGTAATGTAAATAGCAGAATGAAATGTACCACTGGCCATTGTACAGCTGTTTGGAAGCCTAAAGGAAAGTAAACATCCAATTTAAAAAGCCTGCTTTTTAAGTAGCCCAAAATAAGCAGTTTTAGAATCATGATAGAAACTGATACATATTTACACAAGGAGCTTGTACATTTAAAATAAAATTTAAACTTTCTTTTAAGTTATCCTTTTGCGAAGCAAGGAATGAGAAGCAAGCATTCAGAAGATAATTCATAAAGAGATTCCACAAAAATTCAATGTCTAATGAGTCTTCTCTCAATACTTTTTCTGTCCAATAAAGGATTAACTCTGTGACAATCTGGCAGTATATTAATTTGTCCTTGCCCTTCCCAAAAAGGAAGTGCATGAAACTTACCATAGCTATGGTTTTTACATTATTCTGTGTCCTAAAATAAATCCTCTCCAGTTTCAGTAAATTTGCATCTGTTTTCATTGACTCAAATAGTCACTGTAGGATGCTAGAATTCAAATATGGTGGTACAAGTTATGGAATAATTTTAGCATAAAATTGGCCTGGGCTTGCAAGACCACATTCATTACTTTTTCTCAAAGCCAATAGATATACAGTATTACAGCCTGATGATGTAGGCTGTATACATTATATAAATATTGTAATAAATAAAGGAATTCTCAAAGCCAATAGCTGTCATTCTTTTTTTTCAAGAAAGTATTTTGTGTTTGAAACTGCTCAAAGCACTGTTGTCTGATTTGTGGAAGGTGGTAGGGTTTTTTTTAAGAAGGAAGTGTTGCCAAAATGATGATGAAAGGATTAATGTTACATCCATTATTATCCATGCTACCTCCTGAATTTTTGAGCATGATTCTATCCAGGACAGAAAAGCGGCTGAGAAATTTAAGTATGATAAGACTTATTTTATGATCAACTCTATCTGGGAGCTTAGTATTAACAAAGCCCAATCCTTTTGCAAAATTCTACAAAAATAAGGGAATGTTTTATGAATTTCAGTAGTGCTTCAACATTTTGGAAATACTTCAATAATGCTCCTTATGAATTTCTTAAAGAGCTTAAAAATAGGGCATCTATTAATACTGAATTTGTGTTTTTAAACAATGTTTCATCACAACTACTTATTACTTGAAAATGTAGTGTGCAATAAGCTTTATGACTACTGTAGTGAACTGTCAAGATTCAGAAGTAATTTTGTTAAATGTTATTCCTATTTTATATTTTTGTTCAAGTTTTGTTATAGCTTAATTAAATCCTATCTTTTCTAGCATTATTATTTACCGAGTATGTTGAAAAAAGCAAGTTGCAGAAGTTTGTTAGTAGCTGAGCATTCTCACAAAAAGCAGCATCAAAACTTGCACTGCTGCAGCCAGAGGAATGTATAACAAGGAGAGATTTTTATAACAGGGGTGTCTAACAAGTCACATAACCTCACATTTGGAATGTTGAAAGCATATGATTGGCACTTTCAAAAATGCCTGCTATGATTTTGGCTGTGGTTAGTGACAAACAATACATGCACCAGAAGACAGACAAACCATTAGGTTGCAGCAACTCATCATATTAACTTCTAAGCATGCCTCTGTATCTCCTGCTGGATAGGCAGGTTGTGCTTGACCCTAATGCATAGCTTTGTAGCTTCCCATTCTTTTCTTTTTCAGGTATCTAAAAAATAAAGTGGGCAAGGACCTTGGTAGACAGCCAGCACTGGGTCTTCAGGCACACTATCATTCCCAGATGCCATGTTTGGAAAGGCTGGCATTAGACAATAGATTTTTAGGAAACATTTTTGTATACAGTCACTTGAAAGCTCCTCCATTATGAATGAAGAGCACCATCTCCATGCCAGTTCACAGAAAAGCTGTGAAAAAGAAACTAAAGAAGCCTCTACCCTAATATATTATTAGAGAATAAATTAGTTCTAAGGTGAAAATAATTCAGTTGCTAAAATTCTTAAAAATTTATCCATCTCAATAAATTTTGGTAAAGAACACTCAGTGAAAATTTTGTTTGGAAGAATTCCTTTTGGCTGAGCCTGACAACTATTTCATATTACATGTAAAAGGCTTTAGTCACGCTACTCAGCCTTTTTCAATATGATGCTCTGCAGCTGTATTGAACTACAAATCCCAACAACTCCAGTTCAAGTGTCTTAATTTTCTATCAATGGTCTGACCATTCAAAGGAACCTACAACTGCATATAAACTGGCTTTGTGGTAGTAGATAATACTAAATTCAAGCAAAATAGAAAAATGCCCCTTTTCAGTGCCTTAAATAGGACTTCGGTGGGTGGAGGAAATGAACTAGAACTTGCTATACTTTTGTGTGTGAAAACATCAGCTATATATTCATAGGGAAAAAAGTTGTCCAAAACATATTATGTTTTTATCTTATACTACCATCCCATGTTCAAAAAAATTGTTAATATTTTAGTTCCAATAAATCACTTGAGAGACTGGAGATAATAAGAACGTCACTTATTTCCTTTTACTTTCTTTTATATATACAGAACAACTTTCCAGGAACTCAGTGGGGGAAAAAAGTCAAATTATTTTCATATGAAAATATAACTAGCACAACTACTACAATTATTATTTGTACACAAAACTATGTAATTTGGAAACACTGGCTGACCACGACCATGGCCATCAACCATTAAATGCCTATTTTTTATGAAACTACCAAATGTTTTAAGTGTAATGAGATCTATATGCCTCACTGCTGAAGTGCAAGATAACTTTGAATCAATCCTTGAACTCTACACAAAATTATTTCATTAGAACTATTGCAATCTTCTGGTCCATACGGTGGATCAATGGTTAATACACCTGCCACACACAGTGTTGTTTGTGACTCTCCTTGTTCTCTTACAGGGATGTGGTTTTTCTCCAACCAATTCTTCAAGCGGTTTTTCCTTCTATCCAGCTCTTCTTGATTATAAGTTTGGCTTTTTCCAGCCATGAAGAGGTGTGCAAGTTTTTCTTTAATTTCATCATCTCTTTCAGTCACTATTTCAATATCCTGCACGGCATGTCCTAAAACAACTAAAACAGACACTTTTCCATTCTCGAGGGGATTTGCCAGAAGAATGCTGTCAAGAATAAGAGATTCATATAAGGTTTGGATAAACTAGAGGATGATATGTTAAGTGATCACATTTCTGTTTGGCTTTTCCATGCATACTAGCCCTAAAAAATCAGTCTTTTGATACCAATGTTGTATCAAAAATGTTTAAGTCAGAATGCAACAGATGTCTTCCCAATGAAAAAACCTGTGAAAGTGTTATGGCATTACAAGCTGTCCCACAGGTTACCCAACAAATCTGTGGGGGGCTGTATTAGAAATCGCTGAAGTCTGTAATAACTAGCTCAAGATCAGAAAAAGCTGGAATAAATGAAGGCTGTCCATTTATACTCAAAAATATTTCAATCACATATACATAATGTGTTCTATCTGGTACAATTATTTTTCATGAGACCACATTTTCTAACAACAGTCAACTGACATCGTGCTAAGACATAAGGTCAATTACTATCAATTTTACATATAATTTAAATATTCTTATACCAAAGGCTAATACTGTGCAAATCAATTGATGAAGCACTTTAGTCATGAGCAAAGTACCACCCAGCTTTGCTCCTTAGAGCCATGAATAAGTTGCTTCAAGGCTTGTCACAGTAACTTTTAGTTCTGAGGTCTTTTGTGTATGCCCTGAAGTGATTATTTCATCAGCCAGCTCAAAGGAAGCCCTTCAGTGCATGCATACACACTAGCCAGAAGATGACAGGAGGGCCCCTGAATCAGCTACTTTGCAGCTTTGAGGAACTGATCTGCATGTGTGTGTGCGCACGCGCTATAACAACATATCACACAGAAAGTATTCTCTTTAAAAGGGAAGATTATTTGGGATTTGAACCTGATAGTGGAGTCCTTGGGGTTCTCTGAGCTTGGTTCTTTTCTTGCAAACGTTTCATTACCCGG